CTCTTTTTCCCATTTCCAAATAATCATTGATTTGTCTATTGAAGAAGAAAGAAAAGTCATATTTTGAGGATGCCAATTAACTGAATACACCCATCCTTCATGTCCTCCAAGCACAGACTCCAATGATATAACATATTTCTCTTTTAATGTTACTAATTCTTTTCGTTTCATTACAAAATCAAATTGCTCAATGCTTTCTATATGGGATTTTACATCTATTTCCTTTTGTCTTGCTTCTGGTGAGATTTTCCATAATCGTATAAAATGATCTTGGGCACAAGACACCATAAATAAATCTCCATCTTTAAATAAAGATGTTAATAATTTTAAAAGAGATGCATAGACTAATAATTGTTACAAACCATTAATTTTGATGTCTAAACCACGTACCCAATTATCATGCCCTTCTAGTTTCTGACAGTGTCTAAGTTTGAATGGAAAATCATTTGACTTTTCTTCATCTTCTACATACAAATGTATATTCGAATCATCTAAGCTTGCTGCTAATATAATTAACTCCTGATCAGGCAAATACGACAACTTTAGTGATAATGATACTCCATAATTCAAATTTATTACTTGCATTTGGCGAAAGTCTTCTACACATTTCAAAATTATGATATAAATCAATCAAACTGTACCTACTTTTAAAGAATTGCCTACCTTTCTTGTTTTCTCTGAGCCATATCCTTATAGTTGAGTCAGCAGAAGTAGTTACCACAAGAGTTGAAGACTTCTTTGTATACATACTTTCTACGACATTTACATTACTCTCGTGGCCTTTCAATATAAACGAGGTATAATTATTGTCACGAAAAGTCCATACGATTGCTGTTCCATCAGCAGAGCCTGACACTAACTCCAACTCATGGTTGGACCCAGCAATCCACTGTACAGAATTCACCCGTTTTTTATGACCATAAAGGGTGTTGACAATTTTTCCTCCACTTCCATGCTGCATAATGAACCATAAAACCATTAAACATTCTTAATATAAAATAAGAAACGGACAAGGATAATACTTACGTTAATATCATAAATAAAAACGACATTACTGGAGGCGTAACATATAAGACTACCTCTTCCCCAATGTGCAGATGTTGGAACTTGATTACAAGCAGAAGAAACATATAAAACGTCACACATTCTATTTTATTTAACAATTTTAATAATCCTGCGATGTTCAATTTTATTTTTAACCTATATAACCTCTCCACATAAAATTCTTCTTATTATTCTTCCTTCATTTTTTAAAATTGACGCAATTCATACTCCCATATAAAATACATAAATTGTTAGACCGCTCAAATTTATGAATATATCTTTTAAAATAAATAGGTGGGGTACGTAATTAGTACATCTAATTTATAAATACTTAAATCAATGATTTTAGTACTTTTTGCAAGAAGTTTAGCAAAGTATGTATAAATTTCTATATGACTTTTGCAGATATTTCGGTATGCTAAATCACAAATGACAAATTAATCAAAATCCATAATATTCTAAATTTCAACAACTGTTAAAGTGTCGATGTTGTGTAAAAGCAGAAAATAAGTTATTTTAA